GTACGTCAAATTTTGCTTTCCTTGGTGAGCGGTGCAACCAAACCGTGCGCTCTTTGTGCAGCCACTTCTTCGTAGTTCGGTAGCGACGGATAGGCCACCGGCAAGGTGCTGGAGTCACCACCGTTATTGTCCTTGGTGATCAAGGACACGGGTGCGTCGCCGTTGCTGCGACCCTTATTGTCGACCGCTTCGCTGCGCTGTTTAAATCGTTTCCACATGCTATTCAGCAGTTCGACGCTCAGTGCCTCGCCCGCGTTTTTTCTAATGAGGCGCAGCAGGAAGATGCCGTCCGGCTTGAGACAGCTTGAGATGAATTGGCGCGCCTTTGGGCGGTCAGTTTTCAGGAATGTGTTATCCATGACCTTAATATAGGTGATGATGTAATTATGGCAGGTCTCATCGTAAATCCATTCGACGATCCATATTAAGAAGTCAAACACGTTCAGTGAAGCAATGAGCAGAAACCACCACCACAGGAACACGAAAATTTTCTCGTTAAACATGTTGATCATAAGCACACATTGAACAGTGTGTCGGTGCAGATTACCAAGTTCCCTGACTTCGAAGTCGCAAAGCGTTACGCGAGGAAAATGGCCCGTTTCTTCCCATTCTGTTCCGCTGGTAATACTGCGCAGTACTCTGAATCCCCACCAGTCGTCATCGAGTCCAAGAAATGCTTTCAGGACGAAAAACTGCAAGATACTATTGACCAGGTAAATCAGTTTCACCAACAGGTAGAGCAACACAACATAACGTCCACTGAAAACACGACTGTCGTGTAACGTCTCTGACAGTAACACGGAATGATCTAGGAAACGGACGATGCTTTTGATACTCTTCTGCCGTTGATCAGGCTGCATGTTGTTCATCAGTTGAGCCATCCCACAGATTGCTTTTACACCAATTCCTATAAAATGGGTGCGGCTCACATCAGTATCGACTAGATTTATTTTGACTGGCAACACAATTGTGTATTCCTTGAATGATAAAGCAAAATAAAAAAAAATATGGCCACTGCACGTTAAAACATGAAAATACTGCAAATTTTTTACAGCGACTAGCAAAGGCAAAAATCTTCTGCTTTTTGAAATTCATTCGACAAAGAATTAGAACTAAAATATTTTTCAAACAAGGCAGCATATTCATTGATTTTGTCACACAGGGCTTCAGGCAGTCTCTCTACCAAACGACCCTCCGCATATTATGACGTCACGTTGCGCCTTAGAAAAGATTCACCTCTTTTCTTCGAAAACACAAAAATTGTGCCCAAATTTTGTCGACAATTCGTTCGCCTTTACTTGTGCGGCTATTGCGCAGAGACGGATTGAACTGGATTTTGAGGAAACGTCTTTAGAGAGATAATAAATATGCGGTTATGTACTGTTATGAAAAATCGGCGCAGATGGAGACAAAAAGTAACTGTCAGGACTGGTTTTTGTCCTATAAATCTATAAATCTATAAATCAGACAGTCAGAGAAACAAAGTGCTAAACAGAAATTCTACTTTTCAATTAGTTGAAGTCCTGGGCAGAGGCAGCCCTGAACGATACTGCAATGTGCACAGCGAAACGCGTTGGCAATAGAGATTTTACCATCAGCTGTGTTTTATGCCCTGAACAATGAATCGTTCAACCACGAATCCATCTGATCGTCATATAACTCAAGTTACTGACCCGCGTCACTGAACCTACTGTTATAAAAGAAAGCTAGTCACAGTCGAAGTGCGTTTGCAGAGACTCGTGGATTTCAAAATTCTACAAACACCAGCCAACAACCACGTCTCAGCTGAAAATTAAAATCAAAAGTACATGTACATTTACTGAAAGCGTCTGTCTTGCAGCAGTATTGGTAGATTTAAGGAGCAAGTTACTGTTTTCAAGCTATAATTCGAAGATTCGTCGTCATGGGTAATGAATAAGCATTGCAATTACTCATTAGTGAGGTATCGCGACAGTGTCGCGCTGGAACAACTGGGCCTTCTTACGTGTTCGTAGAAGCACGAACTTAGACGAATGTTCACATCATCCTATTCATTATTTCATTTAGCATGAGAATGGTGTCATTCACAGTCATTTCAGAACAAAAATTTGTCCTTTAACGAAAAATAAATCGTGTCAGTCGAACCTGTGAGAGATAAGGTAACTGATTTCCGATACTTTCTCTTCCTAATTTAAGCAATGAATGATTACTTCACGGTTGATCCTCAGATTTGCTTTGGTGCCAGAAAGTGTTATGGATATTGGAATTTTTATAGTGTGTGCATATATGTGGTGTTGAGCACGGAATTTGGATGATAAAAATTTTTCTGCCTTTGTACGGAACCTTACCGGTTCAAAAGATTCAGTCTAAATCGAGAAAAATACTCACGGTTCGATCACTAAAGCATAAGCTCTATAGTGTCTCTGCTCTTAACAGCGGCTTTCGTCAACTGCAGTCGCTAAACAAATACCTTACGCATGTCAACAACAGGTGAAATCGAGCGAACTTTCGCAAAGAGCGAAATGCCCTCTAAAAGGGTAAATATGAACGATGATGCCTTGTATCGAAGTAAGTCATCGCGAGCACCAGATGCGCTAACGAAGCAGCGCCCCACCTCCACGACGAAAACGGTTGAATTAAAGCGAGAAAAAGTGAAATGAGCGTTATTCTCGAGGTATAAAGCTTGGCCGATGTGAGGCGCGTAACAGGTTGTACAAATGAAGTACAGTAAAATCCCGTTATAACGCGATTTTTGGGGGACTGAGTGAAAACCGCGTTATCGACAACCCGCTATACATCAGAAAATTTGCGCGGAAAATAAAATTTTATATGTGAAAGTATAAACACACGTTTTTACAGAATTAATTGCAAAATGCGATAAAATAAAAATCCATAACATAGGTCTTAATTTTTGTAAATGAGATAGATGACGATTATCATAATCACTTTGTCTCTCTTTCCAGTTCATCACTACAGTAATGCAGTAATGCATAATCACATCACATCATTACACTGCAAATTTTGGAGTCTCAAGCACACTCATCTATTCATTCCCGCTGTCAACGTCCGATGAATAGTCCTCCTTTGCTCTTCCCACGGCTTTGGACTCCAGTTACAGCACCCGGTTTCCATCACCCTTATAAACAGCGACGGGAGCCTCATTATCGTCTCCAACCCTGTTCCAAAGGTCGTTTACCTCCATTCCTTTGGCAAGAGCAATGGAAGCTTCAAACACGAGACAACATAGGGAATCTCTTTAAAAAGTCACATTTAGTACCACATAGAATACTCCAAGGGATACCAAGACGCAGCAATTTTTTTACGCCAGCGCTGCCAGCAGCTGAATGCAGTAAATTCGAACCAAGCTGTGTAGGTCCAAAATAACTCGCGGTAAAACTTGAAACGAAGTTAACTTTGGAGAAAATATATAGTAAAATTCGAGCCAACCTGTTTAGAAAAAGCAGAGTTAAATTTAAATTTATTAACAAAGAAAATACATAGAGTCATTTTGGGGACATGACTAGACCCGTAATGTATCCGAATTCGCTTAATACTGAAACGCGTTTTAATGGGGATTTACTGTAATTTCACAGGCCATCATTGCCCCGCGGCGCTGCTGAACCGCCAGAAGCTGATTTGCGTGCGACAACTTGACAGGGCCCCTGCAGCCAAACGACGGTTAGCGGGCAGTCGCGTCAGTGGACGTTAAACTAATGACAGAAACGTACCTGAATAGCCGTTCAGCGACCGCCACAACACGACAGGGGCGTAGAAGCATATGGCCATTAGCGCCAGCACGAACGGAACCCACTGGTAATAACCGATCAGACGTCGATCGCGCTCCTCTACACTGACCGGTATGTCAATCGGTTCGTTGACCAAGTTCCAATAATTTTTCGCCGGCGGGCTCTTGACGAAAGGCAGGAAATAACTGTTTTGTACGTAACAGTAATCCAACGAGTACTGAATCCAGTAACCTTTAAAATACGCTGGAAACCAGCACATAATCGGGGTGCCGACAAACGACCAGCCGCTAACGAACGCCGCGAATGCTACTATAAGGATAGACGTGTAGTAGTAGTTGAGGCGGTCAACGAAATCGCCGTCGCCATATGGCTGAATAGCCACCAAAAATCCGGTCAGTCTGTCCATCGTTGCCAAACACACTTGGCGGATATGACGATCGAATCGGACTGGGTAGAAGTGCAGTAAACCTACGGCTAGCTGAATGTCATATCGTCCGCCAACCAGCGCTGCAATAACCTACCGTTCGCGACCAGCCGCCAGCAAACCGACAAGCACACATTAATCTGATCGTACGCGTACGTCGGCGGCTAGTTGTCTGAATACAGTTGAATTCAGGCCAACGACTGGTCGCCACCTGGTGTTTCAGAGTGGTTGCACAGACACGGAGCTACGATGGCGTCTCCGCGAACTTCCCGACCTCTGCTTGGTCGCATTTCACTGTGCCTTT